AGAGAGAGAAAGAACTAGCCATAGTGTGGAATTTATCATGATTGAAGTATAGACACAGTGCTGGCTGGAAAAGTCAGAAAAAGTTTCTTGGGTGGAGGGACACATGAATTGTCTCTTGAGTAGTAAGCAGGAGCTCAGCAAAGGGATGGGATTGGAAAGGACATTCCCAACTTCAGGCATTAGTGGAAAAGGGCATGGTGTTTAGCAGAAGCTGAGACTGTCACTATGGCTGCAGTACAGAGGGGACAAAAGTGGAGGATAGGAAGAAAAATGGGAAAGAGAGAAATATGCTGTAGATGTGAGATCCTGGACTTCTGTTTACAGGATGCATTGCCCATCATTTGCATGTAATTTGGAAAAGAAACAACAAGTTTGGAGCAGACACCCACCCACTCACTTGGTTACAGATCTGCCTAATTATGTTGAGGAAGCCAGGCCCTTTACATGTGGATTCTGCTAGCTCCTTGGGGGTTGGAATCTCTTACACCTAAACCACGATCATAAACTCCCAAGCCTACCAGGCCATATGGGTACCGTGAAGCAGCATATCAGGTTGAGGGACCATGGCAAAATGGAAGGTTCGTGCTCATATAAAGAGAGACCTAATTCTAAGTACGCAGTGGTAAAAGCAATAACTTGTCAAGTAAAGCACATCTGTAGGCCCCATTTATTGCTGTCATTTACAATCTTTGATAACTTAAAGAGCTGAAGTCACTTAAAGTCTATCATCTCTCTTCAAAATCATCAAGAAAAGAACATTTTGACCAAATTGGAACAAGTGATTAATCCAAGTTTGAGTAGCTCAGTAAAGTCTCTAGTGCTTTTTGGAGTGTCTGGGGCAGCAGGCACTTGGCCTCTCTGGTGGTTTTTATTTCTGTGTGAGGATGACATGGTTCATGTGCAGAAGATGCACATATCTTGGAATGCTGAACCCAACACCCATGCCTCTTTAGAGGGACCCATTGCTCCAGGACCCAGCCTTCACTGGGCTTTGGGGACCATATTAATCTGCACCAAGAGAGAAAGTGGAGAACAGAGAGAGCGATACATAAGATTGAACATCCACAGCCGGACCGCGTGTACTTAAAGGCTAGACCGTTAAGTGGAGAATGCAGAAAATTTCTTAAGGCTGCCCCGCAAATCACCCTGTGCTAATTTGCCTTGCGGGCCCAGCCCGCTGGCCAACCTGGTGACCCTGCACTCTTACCATTGAGTCCTAATTGCACCTCCATCCCCTCTCCTGCATTGGAAGTAATATGCGTTAGGAAAATCAATCCATTTGTAGGGGAAGAAACCACACTGGTTTCCTGCTACTGCTCATATTTTCACTAAAACCCCGTTTTACTGGAACCAACATTAAAAAAACAGCGCATTTTATTCAAAACAAGGCAATATTGGTATTGACAGAGCTGCAGTGATAATGAGGACGATCAATTTTCCCTCCTCCATTATGGGGTATTGAGCAATTTTGGAGTAAACTTGCGGCATAATTAGACAAGATCAGCATTTCTCCCTTTTGAAAACTTTCTGTTTTTCTTTTCTGCATATTTAGATTTTAAGTATTCCTGCTACGGTGGGGGAAAAGAAGCAAAGCCAAAACAAACCAGAACAAACCCAGAAGTCCCCAAAGCAATAAGTGAAGTGCTGGTAATAAAAACTGGAGATCATAGACATTTCTTTTTAATCCTTTTGAATAATACATTGTGATGTTATTTTTGCCTTTTGGTTCATTCAGACTGCATCCCAACTCTCACCCTAAATTGAAATAATGCAGTTACCAAATAAAATAATCTGAGTTTTGGGACATGAGATATTCAAGGCAAGAGGGTGGATGTTACTTTTCTGTTTTGAGAAGAGAAGCAGGAGCTGGGCTTGGTTGGACAAAGGAAGAGAGAGTTGGAGTCTCAGAAAAAAGACCTGGGGAAGGGAATCAAGGACTTTGGGTGGATTTCCATGAGGAAGAGTCAAAGTGATGGAATAGTTCATAACGAATTAGCTTTGGCATTTCTGCTTTTGGTTTCTGGTCCTTGCTGGGCTACACATGTCCATCTGCCAGTTCAGGCTGGCTGTGCAGACGCCACATTCTGGGGAAGGGGATCCTGTCTTCCAGGCAAGACTGCTCCTCCACATCAGTGACATCATATGCTCAGGAAAATAGCAATGCTGGCAAATGGTCACATTTCAGAATGGCAAAGTCCAACCTGGGAAGGATGTCCCCCTGGAAAGTCAATCTAATGTAGTTTTATCCCTCTTCCCCCAGTGCTCACCTTTTAAACCAGAAATGTTGTTGAAGATGTCTTAGAGATAGGGGTTTCCCTGAATGCCATCAGTGTGAGGCAGAAGCTACAGGGCCCATGTGTTTGGAAGGCGAGTGGGAGGCTGTGAAAGGGGCCTGGGCCAGCCATCCAGTTTTTAAAACAATCTAGAAATTGTTGATGAACAATGTAAATATTTTTCTTCATACATTTTAATCCTTGAACCACGTGTGCTACAAAACTATGTTAGCTACATATGGAAGAACACTATCTTATTTATTTCTGTCACTTAGTGCTAGAAACATACTCTTGACCATCTTTTGATACACTTGACCCCTCAAGTGACTGCCCGTGTGGAGAGGAGATGATGGAATGAGGTGACTCTGAGCTTGAGGTTCGGGATCATTCAGGTTCTAGCCTTACCATGTGCCCCTGGCAATTTCCCTCTCTGGGCTCAGCTTCCCCATCTGTAAAATGGGTATGATAATAATGCCTCCTTCATAGGCTTCTCACAGTGATTGCGTAATCCATACGTGTCAAAATGCTTAGAAAAGGGCCTGCTGCAGCTTAAATACCCAGGAAATATCTCATCCCAGGATAAAATTTGGCCCTCACAGTAGATGCCAGGCCTGGAGTCCCTTCTAACTTCAAGAGCCTTGTGAAATATGTGAGAGGCTGCAGGGACCACCCCACCCGCTGTGCTCAGATGTGGTAAATTCTCTGCTGGAGCACGTCTCACACTGTGCTGGGACAATGTGTCTGCCCAACTGTCTCACCTTTAATCTGTGAATCCCTTGAAAGCAGGGACAGTGTCTTATTCATCTTTAAATGCCTAGAGCTTTACCCAGAAGATGGTGCTGAGAGCCACTTCATTCTTGTTTGAGAAAGAAGAGGAAGAGTGGAAGCAGGGAGGACTCCAAGAAAGCTCTTACTGGGGGGTGTAACAGGTGGTCTGTGATGTGAAGAGACCAGACCCCGGTCCTCCTTAGAGAGAGATTATTCAAGTAGTGCATTCACAGCTTCTCCTGGCTTCACTTTGGTGAACTAGACCTCATTTACATGGTCATTGATCTCCTTTCTTGAAACTACAAACTGCGGCACAGGCGTAAAATGTGGAAAGAATGCTGGTGCCTCAGGTCGGGTTCCCTGAGTGGAGCCTGAGACAGGGGTCCAGGTATATGGGATTGTCGAGGGAAGGACTCAGGAGAGGAGGAGAGTGAGGGAGGCCGGGCGGGGAAGGAGCTGAAAGAGGATGCACTCACAGCAAAAGTCTTGTCTCAGCCGGAGCCCTTGGGGTTCTGAGGCTTGAATTGCATAACACAGTCCCAAGGGCACTGGCCTCATTGGCTCCAGGCTGGAGTATGTATGTGTGTGCACACAGGTATGTATGGTGCATGTGCATGTGTGTGTGGACGCATGTGCGTGTGTATGTAGGTAGTGGGCATGTAAGTGTGTTTGTAAGTGTATTTGAGTGGGTAGGGCTCCATGGTCCCTGAGCAGAGCAGCTCCTACCTAGCGGAGGGCAGTTCTGCAGAGAAGGGGAAGCCGTGACAGGTACACCTCTCACTTGGAGAAGGAGGTCTGCATGGGGCACAGTAGCATCCACTGGGACAGGAAAATTCCATTAAGATCTAACCTGTATCCCTCTCACTTGATACAACATTCTTATCCAGCAACAAAAGAGAATGTGGACAGTCCTGAGAGTTTCTGTACAGGAACATCCCACCCAGTCCAAATCATTTATCCAGTCTGGGAAGGATAATTCCAAGGATTTATCTTTTTACAATGAAAGAATGATTGCAAAAGCAATGTGTGGTATTGGGGTCAAATAATTACCGAGCCTGCTCTGTGCACTCTTTTCTATTTGCTTCAAGGGACATAAGCGAGGGAAGTAGCTGGAAACCTAGTTCAGGGTAAGGTAAGAGCACAGCTGTTCGTGTGGCAGCATGTGCTTAGGACTGAGGGACAGGCACAGGATGATGGGAGGGTCGGGGGAGGGAGATGGCACTCAGGGGATGAGAGTGGCTTCAGCAAAGGCTTTTCCCCAGACACTTTAGCTGGCCTGCAGACTTTGAGTGTGGTTCGAAATGTCTGTGGTGGGGTCTGTGTCTGTCAAGACAGAGTGTGTGTGTGTGGTAGGTGGTACTTCTTTTAGGCTTGTACTTCCAGGCAGATTCCACCTTTTACTCCGGGGATGCGAACTCCAATACAGGAACTGTTAGGGGAGGGAAGCCTGCTGGGGAAATGTGGGACCCCTGGAGGGTACAGCTCCCACCCAGCACCAGCCACATCCCCCTGCAGAGGTGCAAGCCAGCTTGGCCAGATCCTCCCATCTTTTGAGAGAGACCAGAAGTCTGGATTTTTATGTGACATCTTCAGACTTTTCAACGCTAACAATTAATTCAGAAACTGCTTAAACATTGTGCGGATCAAACACAGCACGTCTAAGGGGCAGACCCAGCCTCCTGCCTGCTGGTGTGTGGCCTCCATCTTTAGCCATTGACCTCTCCCCACACTGACCTGGGCAGATTGTGTCCCGCCAGAGCCTGCCTCCCAGTCTTGCCCCTGCAGGTGAGGAGGCCACTGGAAGAACCCTGAGACAGGCATGGGTGCAGTGCGGGTGGGGTAAGGTGGGCGCAGTCTCCTTGTTCCACAACTCACCCCAGCCCAAGTTGGAGCCTATCAAAGCTGCCCACAAGATGTTCTGCCCTGGAGGGCTCACAGCTTGCTTTGGTCACCTCTTAGCTTTCCGAGGAGATCCAGTGCTCCCTGGCCAGTCACATCCAGTCCCTGGTGAAGTCAGAGAAGAACCGCCAGGTCATGTGTGAGGCGGGCATGCTCGGGACCCTTATGGCCTCCTGCCACAGGGCCCTGGCCACCAGCGGCAGCCCCCTCCACTCACGCCTCATCAGGATCTTTGAGAAGCTCGCTTCCCAGGCCATTGAACCGGATGTGCTAAGGTACCACATGCTGCATTTTCAACGCTGCCAATCTGGGCAGCCATGTCTTTTGCAGGGCAGGGGTTGCACAACAGGCAGTGGAGAGACTGCAGGGACAGATGCAGGGCATGGCTCTGTCCCAGCATTCAAGGCTGGAAATCCATGGATGAGCCTTCGGTCTGTGCCAGGCAGTGTGCAGGTGCCCACAAAGCAGACATAGCCACCTCTCATGGAGCATGTGGGGGCTAGAGGGGGCTCTGAGGAAGTGGAGATGCATTCTGAGGCCTGTGGAGTTCACTAGACAAAGAGAGGAGGGAACCGGGCCTGGAAGGCTCTGCCAGGAGGGGTGGGGCTAGGAGGGCCTGACTGTGCCCTGTAGGGAGTTGGGCAGTAAGCATGTAGGGACTGCAGACATGGAGGGGAATGGGGCAGAAGCCCCCTGGATCCTGCAGGGGGCTTTCCTGTTGTCATCCTCTCCATGAAGCCACATTCCTGGAGATCCATGGCAGGGAGAGGAAGTGCAAAGGTGCACAGGGTGGGAGGGAGGGAGCAGACGTGGAAGACAGGAGAACAGAGGGAAGGGAAGCTGCTGGGGAGGGCAGGAGTCTCCTACGCCACCTGGAGTGCCGTGCCGAGGGCCATGCACAGGGCAGGGGGCCCTGCTCCTTATACACAGGAGCAAGTGTAGAGGGCACACAGACAGCCTTTCCAGCCAGCAGACATGGCACCCAGGGGCGGGCACGATGGCTGCCAGAGGAGGCTGCTGGTTATAGTGCTGCATGGGAAATTCTGTTAGAAATTTATAAGCAATTACAACAAATTTATTTTGTGACATTATTTTTTGTTATGACATCCATCTTGAGGCTCCTAAACTTACCAGCTGTCTGGTCTGGTCTGTCTGGAAGGGCAGAGACGTGTCTCCACACTGCTTTCAGAAAGGGTATTCCAGCGGGGCTGGGAGGTCAGGGAGCTCCGGGCATCTAGGACAGTGGTCAGGATAAAGTTGGAGAACACTGTTGCCCATAAAATGTCTTCATTTGGTCCTCTTGTGTGTTATGTTCAGACAGTTTCTAGGTCTTGGAATTCCCTCACCTCTGTCGGCCACAACGAAACTCCTTGATTCATCTCATGCACACAGAGGCAACCCTGGGTGCTCAGGTGAGGACAGAGGCAAGAATAGGGCAGGTTAATGGGAATTAAAAGATGATATGCATTCCTGCTGAGGGGGATCCTTTACAACAGGTGGGAAAGCAAACAGGTTTAAACATGGTTTTGTCTGCAGCTCAATGGAGCAACTGAGGAAAAAGCAAAGAAAATTCCTGGTCTCTGGAGAAAGACCATATCAGGATGGAGAAAGATGACCCCCCCACCCAGCCATATAAGACAGATGACCCCTTTGGGTTCCAGATCATGGAAGCAGAAACAGAGTTTCCTTCATGACACAGCAGTACCTGGCGCTGCACTAGGCAGAGGTGTGCAGGGAAGGCTTCTGTACAGCTCTCAGCTCAAGGGCATGTCAGAGCCTTGGAGGCCCAAGATGCAGGTGGTACCCCTGTGTCAGGCCTAATACCTATGGAATGCTGGCCCAGGGGACCAGCTTAGAGAAAAGAAAGTCGTGGACAACTTGAATGTAAGATCACATAAGACCTTAAGGTAACAGGCAGGTCCAGTGGAGAAGCAAGGGTGCAAGATCAGGCTTGGGGCTGACAGCCATGGTGGGAGCCTGGAGCTTTCAAGGAGAGGCTGCTGTGAAGGAAAGTGTGGGCCTGGTGAGCAGACACAAAGCTCCAGTCAGTAACTCCAGTGGGGCAAGCCAGAGACAGAGATGGCAGCAGTAGAATGTGCTATGCTGGAAAAGGGATGTGTGCTGGAATGAAAGAGAAAAGTTTCTAGAAGGAGCAGGTTAGCAACACCGTTCCTTGTTATCGGACTCAGCAAGGGGGCAGGGGAGCCGCCCTCACTGGTACTTAGGAAGTACCTGATGACTCTGTGGAACTCTCTTTCTAGGCTGTGGCAGATACTTTGGGGTTATTGTCAGAAGCGGGGCAGAAATGCTTTGAGCAGAGACACATCTCTTCTCCTGCTTGCTGCCCTAGGGTCACAGACTACACAGGGCTTGGCTGAGGGGCCCTGGCAAGCCGCCCCAGATGCTGGCCTGCACCCTGGAGTCACCCAGGCCCTGCAGCCCTTGGGGAAATCCCAGGATTCAACTACTGCCCTTCAGACGGCGCTGAGCCTCATCTCCATGACTTCCCCACGCAACCTGCAGCCTCAGAGGGCAGCCCTGGCCCCATCGTTTGTGGAATTTGACATGTCCGTGGAAGGTTATGGGTATGACAGACTTTTACATATTTAAAATGCACTTTATTAATTTTTCAGTGCCTCTAATGAATTATAATATTGATTACAAACTTGTAGTTCCCATTGAATCTCACCACTCAGCAGAGGAAAATGTCTGGGTCATGGACACCTGCCTACTCAGTGGCCTCCCAGGGGCTGTGTCCCCAGCTATGGAGGGCAAAGACCCTCTTTCCCCTGGTGTGGCTGCATTCTGGAACACCCTCGCATCCTGCCTCCAGTGCAGTTCCTTCACTTTGGCATCCTACCAGCACCAGCTGCAGTCCGTCCTTGAGACCTTATGGTCTAAGGAGGGTTACAGCGCTGGCAGGAGGGTAAAGCGGGAAGATGTCATGGCCCAAGCTAGCTGTGTCGGTGCAAGAGGTTGGCTTGCAGTCCGGTGATCTGAGACAATTTTCTGTTTCCAGCTGTTTGTTTATTCCGACCCTGTCTACAGTTATGGGAACCAGCACTGAGTACTCTGTCTCTGGAGGAATTGGGACAGGTAGGTGTTTTTCCCAGGTGGTTTAGCTCTCCATCCCTTCCCAAGTATGAGTCTTCAGATAGCCTTGATTGCAGATTTTTACTTGGTGTTTCAGGAAAGTGTGAGCTGCACTATACATGGTGGCTTACAGCTGTAATACCTGTAATTTGGGAGGCCAAGGCAGGAGGATTGTTTGAGGCCAGGAGTTCCAGGCTGCAGTGAACTATGATTGAACCACTGCACTCCAACTGGGCTACAGTGTAAGACCCAGTTTCAAAAAGAGAAAAGCAAACATGAGTCTTGCCTTTGGTCCTGAGTATCTGCAGATGAGTTGTTCTTCAACTTTGCTCCTCTTTTAGAGCAAGGTGTTCGGTTCATTGTGCCTCCCAGGGGTCCAGCCCATAGCTAGGGACTCAATTGACATTGATGGACTGAGCCTGGGTTTGGCTCATTTTGCTGGTGACTGATGTAGGCTGAGATGGACACATTACCCACCTTAGATCCCTCTCTAGAGAGAAATATGAGTTGGGCTGATAGCCATCAGGAACAGACCAATCTTTGGCAAGTGGCTCCTGTGCACAGCACTGCACTCAGCTGAAAAACCACTGGGTGGAACAGTGCAAGTGCCTGATGCTGCCAGAGTCACACACTCTGTTAGGAGAATTGGGTTTGGGGTTTCTATGGGATCATGGGTGCTGGGGAGCCATTGCCTTCATCACCTTTTTCCACGTGAGTTGGCATCAAGTCTGAGGATACAGCAGCTGGTCCTGCCTGTTCCATGAGGACAATGGATCTGTCTGTATTGCCAACCCTGTTATGGGATGGGAGGGCACATGGCATTGTTAAACTGGTGCCCTTTCCTATCCAAGGTTCAGCTGAGCTAGGCCAAGGTCCTCTGCCCCACAGAGCACACTGCCTGGCTGTAGATCAGCTGATCAAGGGCCCACATGTGATGGACATCAGGGAGATCGAGGTCTTCTCTGCTCCTTTGGCAAGGCAGCATGTCATAATGGGGAGGAGACAACTGGTGATTAGGCAAGGCACCCAGTAGGTGCTGCACCCAGGCTAAATCAGCACCACAGTGAATCTGAACATACTTGCTCAGCAGGGCAGAACAAAGCCTGAGGGCATGCCTGTGTTCCCACCCAGGTGCCACCAGACCATTCCCTCCTCCTGGAGGCCTGACCTTCTCCTGTTGGTTCCTGATCAGCCGGCACGGAGCTGCCACTGAGAGCCACCCGCTGCGCTTCCTGACACTGGTGCGCCACCTGGCCAGGACCGAGCAGCCCTTTGTTTGCTTCTCTGTCAGTCTCTGCCCAGACGACCTCTCCTTGGTTGTTTCTACAGAAGAGAAGGAGTTTCAGCCTCTGGGTAAGGTGCTGGGATCCAAAGCCAGTTTCATCCACATGTCAGGGAAATGGGGCTAAGTCAGAAGCTCTCAACACAGGTGTGGTTAGAAACCTGGTGACCTTCTGTTTCTCCTCATCCTTTGAAATTGCTCCCTTGGATTCCACACCTGGTGAAAGGTCTACAATATTTGTTATGGTTCACTGTGGCCTGGGCTCTAGGCTTGTAAGTGTCAGGCAGATGAGTCCCCAGCCCTTGGCACAGCTTCAGAGATGATGCTCAGTGGCTTTCCAGAAACTTCGCCTGGCAGAACAGTCACAATGGGACCCAGGGCTTTGCCTCGCTGGGACACATGCTGCATCCTCTCCTGTGTGAGGTTTGTGAAGGACACACACAATTTAGCTGGAGCCAAAGCAGCTACAGACACTCCCACATATGCTTAACCCCAAACCCAGAAGGCTGGCCTGTGCTTAGCATGGTGCCCAGGGCCACCCCTCCTTCGGCAGTGCTAGAGGCCAGCCCTGGCTCTGCCCTTTAGAGCCCAGCATTGTCCTCCAGGCCCATTTGCCTGAGATGGTCAAGTCCAGTGGATTCTGGCCACTTGTTCTTCTCCTGTGTCCTGGGAGTGTCACTGTTTCATAAGGAAAAACAGTGGGAGGCCCTATGAAACAGTGGAAGTGGCTGATGCCCTTGTACACAGCACAACTGCCTATCCAACTCTCTGGGACTCGGCCTGCAATGGAGTCTCTGTGGAGGTAGTGTACCTTGGGGTAGACCTGAAACGTAGTTTCTGGGTTTGAATCTTGGCTGTATGACCTTGGGCAAGTCACCCAACCTCTCTGTGCCTCAGGATGGTAAATTGGGTATGTGTGAGCGCCTACCTCACAGGGCTGTGACATGAGTTGATATTTGTAACATGCTTAAAACTGGCACAAAGGAAGAGCTCAAGGAATGATTGCTGCTGCCATTGTCATTTTTCATGAGAGGAGGGGCTAGGGCTCCATGGTACAAGGCCCACAGTGGTTGACGTCTCTCTGTGCCCTCCCCATTCTCCTGGGTTCCTGCAGTGTAGCACCACACATGAGACTCAGTGTTAATGCTGTCTTCCAGATGTCATGGAACCTGAGGATGACTCTGAGCCTTCTGCAGGACGCCAGCTTCAGGTCAGGTGTGGCCAGCTCCTGGCTTGCGGTCAGTGGCATCACTTGGCTGTGGTTGTCACCAAGGAAATGAAAAGACATTGTACAGTTTCCACCTATCTGGATGGACAGGTCATTGGCTCCGCCAAGGTGAGATGGCTCCTCCAAGCTGCACTTGCCCCACAACCGTACTGCCTGCTGCTACCTTGAAGTGACCTCGGTTTCATTCTATGTTTTTTGTTATTGTTGCTTTTGTTTGTGTATTACTGGTAGGGCTGGCATCTAATGAAATCCTGCTTACTGTTCAGGAAACTTGAGTGAGCTCAGACATGAAAAGGACATCTTTAGAAAATGCACTGAAGGTCACACAACCAGGACAGAAGGCAAGATGTGCATCCAGATCTCTAAGAATAGTCATGTTCATGAAAATAGAAAACTCCAGAATGAACAAAGCAAAGCTTCTCATTTTAAAGGGCAAACTCCTCAGGGAGGTCTGGGCAGGGCCTAAGGTATGACTTTTCCAAGAAGCTCCCAGGTGAGACCAATGCAGCTCATCTTTGTACCACACAGAGGAGCAGGGCACTAGAGTGTGCAGACACCAACACATGTCACCAGATTTAGAGAAAAAACCATGAGGAAGGTAATGGAATGCAGATGTATAGCTGAAGGAAGCATCTCATGGCTGTCATTTAGAGACACTCCAGATACAAGAGGAAGCTGGGAAAAGGTGGAGCTGGCAGGAGCCAGCAGCCATTGTCAGAAAGGAGAGAGCCCAGAAGACCACAGAGGGCAGGTACAGTTGGATTTTTCACACAGGTTCCAGGGAGAGCATCCCAATCTGGCTGCATTTTAGAATCACCTGCAAAGGCTTTTTAAAGTTCTCTTGCACAGGCTGCACCCAGAATAATTACATAAGAATCTCTGTGGGTCAGGTAATTTGACAATTTACTAATGTTTATAAAATTTTCTAGGTGATTCTAATATGCAACCAGAATGGAGAACCTTACATACACAGGGTTTCTTGATTCCCGCCAAATGCCATAGTGTTCCTCCCCCAACCTTGTCCAGTTGTGACCACCAATAACATCTCCAGACATTGCCAAATATCCCCTGGGAGTCAAAGTTGTTCCAGGTTAAGAGTCATTAGGTGAGAACAAATTCTTACTCCCAAGTTATGTGGGACCCATATAGGTGAATTTGATACCATCTTCTGGTAAAGTTCTGTTATCAGAAAAAGGCAGTGGTGACCAGAAAGATTTTTTTTTTTTTTTGAGATGGAATTTCGCTCTTGTCACTCAGGCTGGAGTGCAATGATGTGATCTCGGCTCTCTGCAACCTCCGCCTCCCAAGTTCAAGCAATTCTCCTGTCTCAGCCTCCTGACTAGCTGGGATTACAAGCGCCCACCACCATGCCCACTAAATTTTGTATTTTTACTAGAGACGAGGTTTCACCATGCTGGTCTCAAACTCCTGACTTCAGGCCCTCCCAGAGTTCTGGGATTACAGGCGTGAGCCACCATGCCTGGTCAAACAGAAAGATTTTGATAGGGACATTGAAAAAACAGATCCTTCAAAACATAGTTGGCCTTTACTCCAATGATTAACAATATCAGTCCTCCTTCTTTCCCTTTCTGTCTTTCTACTTTTCCTCATTAAATATTTATTGAGCACCTATTATATGTTAGCTAATATTTTAGGTGCTAAGAATTGTTTATGCCTATAAGCTAAAGACCTCCAGGAACATACATATAGTATAAAGTGCTAAGAATTGTTTTAGGTTCTAAGAATTATTTATGCTTATAAGCCAAAGACCTCCAGGAACATACATATAGTATAAAATAAAAATTAGATTTAAACTGACTGTAGTGACAGATTCCCTACCCCATGGGGTAGTAAGGAGTTAGGAGTGGTTTGTTACAGAAACTGTGCTTATTTTAGGTGATTTTTAAGAGGGTTTAAAGAAGTGGAGGTCCATCTGTTCTGAATTGGGTGCTGTCAGAAAGAGGTGCAATTTGGTGACTGTGAATGTTAATAACTTTTATCCAGAAGGTAGAGACATGGAAAAGGGCTGGACTTGTCATTAGAGAGGAAGCAGAAGTCCCTCACGTTAGTTGGGATGGGATGTGTGGTGTCTTTTGTGGTTGCAATGTCTTTGTTTTTATCTGTTTAGGCTTGAATACTGAGTTCACTTGTTCTTGTCTTCTTTCGCAGAACATGTTGATATTTTGGTGAAATACCTCATATACCTTGAGGCATGTCTTATTGATGTTTGTACCTTTCTTGAACTTGGCACAGGGGCTGACACACAGTGAGCATGCAATAAACACTTGATGAACTGAATTGAATGTGCAGCCACAGGAGGAACATGACTGGCTGGTAGTGTGGTTGGGTGAAGTGGTACAGGCATTAACATCCTCTCTGAGGGACCTGCTAAACGTAGGGCCATCAGCAGGGAGGCCAGGAGTGGTGTGTTGCTATATGGAGTGGCCAAAGCCAAGACTGACAGAGTCCTCTTTCCAAAATAATCTCAACAAGTTGAGTCAGGACCAGCAAGTGAAACTCAATCAGGATAAACATAAAGGACTGTGTTTTGATGCTGACATCTGTTGGGCAAGAGTAAGATGTGAAAAATCTAGCTTAGTCTGACTAGTTTAACAGCCCTTCTCAAAATGCTGAGCCTTTGTTTTTATTGCCAAAGGAAACTTAGATAAATTTGGAACGATATAGAGCGTTTTAACAGCTTGAATTGGGCTAAATGATTTGGGAACGATCTGAGACATTAGACATTTATTAGTCAACCTGAACAGGGCAGTGTGCATACACTGGGAATTTGGGAAGAGAGGGGCAAGGTGGGTTGGAGGGGTGGGTGGTGCTTCCGTGTGGGAGAGAGAAGAGGACTCTGAGCCTGCGAGAACAGAGAGAGAGGAGAGCACAGAAGATCATACTCCTGGCAAGGCTTGGTGGTTGAACAATTGGTTTGTTTTTATTTGAAAATCTCATTTAATTGGTAGGGTGAAAAAGAATATTTCTGAAATTATGTAAACTCTCATTTAGAAAAATACAGTCATCCCTCAGTTTCCTCAGGGGATTGGCTACAGGACCCTTCTTGGATACCAAACTGCATGGATACTCAAGTCCCTTAAATAAAATGGTGTAGTATTTGCAAATAACAGATGCATACCCTCCTGCATGCTTAACTAAGCTCTAGATGATTTATAATACCTAATACAATGTGAATGCTAAATAGTTGTCATTCTGTATTTTTTATTGTTATAGCACTATTTTTGTTGTCCTTTTTCCTGAATATTTTTGATCCAAAGTTGGTTGAATCCAAGGATATGGAACCCCCAGATATGCAGGGCCAATTGTGCATATTTATAAACATATTCTTATATTTAGTGATTTTATAGTAATTATAAGAATAATATAAATGCATTTTGAAATAGCTCAAAAATAGAGAAGAGAAGATTTGCTACCCTCCTGCTACTTTATCATATTTTGTAATTTCAGTTTTATCCCTTTAAAAAAATAGTGTGGCTTCAATGTATAGAAAATCTTGTATACTGCTTAGTTCATTTAACCTCTCGTTTAACCTAACACTTAGGTTATATGGTATAGCCTATTGCTTCTAGGCTACAAACCTAGACAGCATGTTGCTATATTGAATACTGTAGGCAGCTTTAACACAGTGGTGAGTATTTGTGTATCTAAACACTCTAAACATGGAAAAAGTACAGTAAAAATATGATATTATTATCTTATGGACCACCATTGCATATGTGCTGTGACACTGACTTGGAACATTGTAATGTAGCACACAGCAATATATGAAAGTATACTTGGAAATTCATCCAAACTTTTGCCTGTATCCACACTTCGTTCTTTTTTATTTCTGAGTAGTATTTCAAGGTATGGATGTGCCATAGTTTGTTTAGTCATTTATCCATTGAAGGACATCTGGGATGTTTCAGGTTTGGGCCATTACAAATAAAGTTTTGTGAGCATTTGTATATGGGTTTTTGTGTGAATTTAAGTCGTCATTTATCTGGGATGAATTCCAAGAGTTCAATTGCTGGTTTCTATGGTAATTGAATGTTTAGTTTTATAAGAAACTGCCAAACTATTTTGAAAATGATTTCATCATTTGACATTTCCGCTAACAATGAATGAGTGAGGCAGTTTTTCTGCACTTAGCGTTGTCACTATTTTTATATTAGCCATTATGATAGTTGTGTAGTGATAGCTCACTGTGTTTTTAATTTGTATTTCCTTAATGGCTAATGAGGTTGAACATCACCTTTTCATGTGCTTATTTGCCATCTGTATATTCTCCTCAGTGATGTCCATCCATATTTTTTGCCCACTTTCTAATTGCATTGTTTGTTTGTTTTGTTGTTGTTGTTGTTGTTGTTTTTTTTTTTGAGATGAAGTCTCGCTCTGTTGGCAGACTGGAGTGAAGTGGTGCAATCTCGGCTCACTGCAACCTCCACCTCCCAGGTTCAAGCGATTCTCCTGCTTCAGCCTCCAGAGTAGCTGGGACTACAGGTGTCCGCCACCATGCCCAGCTAATTTTTGTATTTTTAGTAGAGATGGGTTTTTCACTACGTTGGCCAGGATGGTCTCGATCTCCTGACCTCGTGATCTGCCCACCTAGGCCTCCCAAAGTGCTGGGATTACAGGTGTGAGCCACTGCACTTGGTTGCATTGTTTACTTTTTTAAACTGTTAAGTTTTAAGGGTTTTAAAATATATACATGTATGTGTGTGTGTCTATACATACACACATATATATATATTCTAGATACTAGTCCTTTGTTAGATACGTGATTTGCAATAATTCCTCCTAGTCTGTAGCATGTCTTTTAATCCTCTTTCACATGGGTGAAGTTTCTGGTTTTGCTGAAGTATAATTCATTAGTTTTTCCTTATATGATTTGTGCTTTTGGTGTCATTTGAGAATATTTTGCCCAGCCCTAGGTCCTGAAGATTTTCTCCTATTTTTTTTTCCTAAAAATTTTCTAGTTTTACATTTTACACTTGAGTTTGTGATCAATTATGAATTAATTTTTGTATAAAGTGTAAGGTTTAAGTTCATTTCTTTGCCTATGGATGTTCAATTGCTCCAGTACCATTTGTTGAAGAGTCTATCATTTCTCAATTGAAATGCTTTTGCATCTTTGTCAAAAATCAGGTGAACCTACTTATAAGTTTATTTCTGGGTTCTCTATTCTGTTGCATTGATCTATGTGACAATCTATGTGATTATCTTTATACCAATGTCACACTATATTGATTTTATAGCTATATAATAAGTCGTTATTAGAGTAGTTCCTCCCCCAAATTAATTCTTCTTTTTCAGAATTGTTTAAGCTGTTCTAGGGCCTGTGCCTTCCCATACACAGTTTAGCATTAGCTTGTTTATGACTACAAAAAACCTTGCTGGAATTCTGATAGTCTACAAAAAACCTTTCTGGAATTGCATTATACCTACTGATCAACTTGAGGGGAAATAACATCTTTACTATAGTGAACCTTTCTATCCATGAACCTGGTATGTCTCTCCATTTATATAGGTCATCTTTGACTTTTTCCATCATCACTTAGGAATTTTCAGTGTACAGATCCTGTACTTGTCTTACTATTTCATTTTCTTGTACATAATTGTAAGTGGTATTGTGTTTAATTTTAGTTTCTGTTTGTTTATTGTTAGCCTACAAAAATAAAATTGATTTTTGTGTATTGATCATATATCCTGTGACCTTGCTGAATTCACTTATTAGTTCTAGGATATAAAAAAAAATTCCTTGGAACTTTCTACATGGACATGTCATCTGAAAATAGAAACAGTTTTGTTTCTTCCTTTCCACTCTGTATGTATTTAATTATTGTTCATACATAAAACTTTATTAATTTGCCAATACTAGGCATTTAGGTTCTTAGCAGATTGACTGAGATAAAAAAGGTGGACTTTTTTTGTTTCTTAGTATTTTTTATCAAATTTATTTTCAGAAGGACAGTGTCAGTTTTTTACTCCACATTTAATAACTTGTTTTACTGCATACTTCTGAGGTTTGTGAATTATATTTTAATTTTTTAGATAAAACACATTTTTACTATGAGATGAGAATAAGATGCATCATGTTATATCACTTTGTATTTACTTGATTAACTCTGAGATCAAACACTACTCACTTTTGTCCTTTTCATTTTAACAGATGTTATACATCCAGGCTCTACCAGGGCCTTTCCTTTCTATGGATCCATCCGCGTTTGTGGATGTTTATGGATATATTGCTACCCCTCAAGTTTGGAAACAAAAATCTTCATTAATCTGGCGTCTTGGCCCCACATACCTCTTTGAAGAAGCCATTTCAGTGGAAACTCTGGAAGTTATTAACAAACTTGGCCCAAGATATTGTGGCAACTTCCAAGCTGTGCATGTCCCAGGTATGGAGTGTTTTGATTTACAATGTTCTTGCTGATAGTAGTTTTTAAATGGACATCTGGTTATTTATAGCATATTTGCAGAGAATAAGCTCAGCGTTAGGGTCAGTCATTAGGGAAGACCTCTGTAATTGTATCATTATATATTTACAACCCAAGAGAAAATGTCACAGAAAAGGAAATGACAATATCTTTAGATTTCAACTCCAAAGTCCCTAATGGGGAAGAGGTGGGTTGGGTAATACCATCAGCAAAGAAAGAAAGAAGAGATTGAGACAAATAAGTTACATTGCTTTTAATGAAGAAGCTTTTTAACTAAAGTATACTATTGTCTTCAATTATTAAACAGGCAGACAAAACATCCACATTTTCATTATTGATTGTCGTTATTCAAGCAGGGAGCATTGCTCTCTGTGCTCCGTCAAGTCAAAGGGGTCAGCTCCCATCTGGAAAGAATGATAAATGAATCTATGTCAGTGGCCTGTATGTGCTGAAGGGCGATTGAGTGCTGTAGAGCATTTCTGTCTCCAGGCCCATGATGTCTTTGAATTTCATTTCCTGTGGCAAATGGCACTGGCCAGAGCAATGGGATGAGGTCAGGTCTAGAGCCAAAGTCTTACCAATTCTATATTCATGCCACCCTTCTCTACTAGCACAGTGGGTCTCATTGCCTTAGAGACCAGTATGTTAATTCAAACTGGGATGTTTGCCATGGCTGTGCAGCTCATTGAAAATTAAACATTTCAGTTCAGCCTATTTCAGGTCAGGTTTCTTGTCACTTAGCAGTTTGGTTTTAGGGAGTGAGGTTATATACTTGACAGATGTTTTAAGCTCTGGTAGTTTTGCACCTAGAGTGCATCTATTTCATGGTAAGACAAATCTTGGGAGAGTTCGCCACAGTTTCTTCTTCTTCTTCTTCTTCTTCTTCTTCTTCTTCTTCTTCTTCTTCTTCTTCTTATAAGTAATCTAACTTATATGTAAACAAACATGGGCAACACGAACTTGGGAGATATTCTATAGTAAACAGTAACCAAGGAGAGGCCTCGACCCATATAAGCACAGCCAAAGCTTCAGCCCAATCACAGCTACAACTGGACTATATTCTAGGCACCTAAGCTACTAACCATTACGGCAATTTCTAATATGTCACCTTAACTTTTCATCCTGCAAATATTGTCCTGCCTCATACTGCCAAAGTGACAGCCTCTTGAACAGTTTACGTCTCGAGGATATCCCACCCAATTCAATTGAGTTATTTCCTTTTCCCACTCAAATAAACTGTCTGCCCCAAAATTGAATTGTGTTAAGACTTTCTTTCAACCTACGTCACTTAATATAGACTTCAAATTTGAATTTTTATAAACTCCCAAGTTTCCTTGTAGACTGCACTGCTAGAACATATTAATAAGTTATATTTTAAAAGCAGCTTAAACACAGGCCATCCCTCATGATTAAATGGATAATTTTTAAATAAAAGAATTAAATTGAGATAATCTCATTCATTGTCATTTGCAGATTAACTCCGTAAAAATGTTTTATAATTATTCCTCTCCAAGTGATTAAAACACCCATTACTCTCCCAATCTTCAATAGAAACCAGAAATTTTTATTGGAATGAAAGAAAAACCTGCTTAATCCTTTAGCCTCTCATGCATAATTTCATTGTAGCCTTCTTTTTGCAACATGTACATATCCTCAATCAAATATACGAAAATTCTGGGAAAGTTCGTTGCCTTGTCCATGTCCATGCTTTGGTCCCTTGATCTTCCTGATGCCCTTGCCTTTGCCCACTGCTTTATCTCCAAACATTTGAAATCTCCACTGGTCATCATGTCCGTCGACCAAAAGTAGACCTGTTCTCTGATTGTATAAAACAACTCTCCCCCCATTTGCTCCCAGTACATCCTTGTTCAGTTCATTAATACTAAATGCACCAGTCTTAAAATAGTATATAAAGCTCAGCATCTTTCATGCATCATCTAGATGTAAATTTTCTTAGTACAAAGAGCTTATTTATATTTTCATCCTCCCCTAACCTAACCCTACTCCATAGAAAAAACAAATCACCTGTGTCCTAAACAAGGCATGCTTACTTAACAATTGGATAACTTTTATTTATAGAAGCAAAATCAGAACAAATTCATTAAGTTGGTATTTTATAATTTTTTATTAATATAAAAGT